TATTTAATTCATGCTTTGAACAGATCATTCTGCTGTTTATAATGAATTTCATTTTTTCCTGCTCCTAGCTTCTTAAGGTGGAAACTGATTAACTGGTTTGAGACTTTTCTTGTTTTCTAATGCATTCCTTTAGCACTCCAAATTTCTCTTTAAGTACTACTTTAGAGACATTCCACAAATGTTGATATGCTGCATTTTATTTTCATTGAGTTCAAAATGCTTCATTTTGTTTTTGATTCATTCTTTGACCAATGGGTTATTTAGAAGTGTGTTATTTAGTTTCCATATATTTTATATTTTTCAGTTACTTTTCTGTTATTGATTTCTAATTTAATTTCTAATGTAATTGATTTCTAATGAATTATATTAGAATCACATGAAAATGAATCACCTTACCTTTTAAATTTATTGATCTGTCTTGGTAAATGTTTTCACATGGACTTAAAAATGTAAATTGTACCATTTTGGGGTGGATGTTCTACAAATGTCAACTAGGTCAAATCAGTTGATTTTGCTGTTCAAACTTACCTACTATAACCTTACTAATTGTCAATCTTCTCATTCTCTCAAGTAGTGAGAACATTCTGAAATTTCCAATTGTAATTGTGGATTTATCTATTTTTCCTTTGAAATTTTATCAGTTATTGCTTCATGTATGGTGAAGCTCTGCTATTAAGTGCCTAAGTGTTTAGGATTATGTTTTCATGATAAACTGATTCCTTTATCACTATGAACTGGTCTTTAAAAAATCTCTGTTAGTTATTATTTATCCTGACATATATTTTATCTGATATTAAGATAGGCCCTCCAGATTTCTTTTGACTTGTGTTATCATGGTATATCCTTTTTCCATTCTTTTACTTTAAATCCATTTGTATCTTTACATTTAAAGTGTGTTTCTCGTAGGCAGCATGTAGTCTCTGCTTTTTTATCTGACAATTGCTGCTTCTAATTGGTGTCTTTAGATTATTTACGTTTAATCTGAGTATTTATGTCATTAGATTAGACTATCCTATTTTATTTTCTATTTGTTCTGTTTTTTGTTCTATTTTTCTACCTTGTTTTGGATTATTTGTTATGATTACTTCTCTTCTTTTTGGATTATAAGCTATAGCTCTGCTTTCTTATTTTAGTGGTTTGTTTAGCATTTATACTATACAATCTACTGCCAAGTTATATTGTACCACTTTATATATAGTAAAAGAGACAATATGAACATGAGCATGTTTTGCCAGCAGATGACCACATAGTCATTCCAACGACAGGCACTATTTGGCCTGTCTCTGGCAGCTATGATTGTATGTGGTATGACACTTTTCAGGGAGCCATATCCATGAACACACTGATATTTCCCATAGATGTGGAATTTCAAAGCAATGTTAGACATTAAATCAAGCTTCCTGTGGATCTTCTTCACAACAAAATCCAGGGCCAGGATCCTCTTTCTTTTTTTTTTTCCTTTTTCCTTTTCTTTCTTTTTTTTTGGCAAACTAGCAAAAAAGAGTATCATCAACCAGAACACAACTCCCAAGGGACTAAATTTCTATACTTCCCAATCCTAGAGGGTCAAAGCTCAGGGCAGTCACTGAATATTTAGCATCAATCCCAACTCCAATGTTCTGCAGCCAAGAATCCTCTTAGCTCATTTAAAGATCCAGCATGATTATCATAGGTCTGTATTCCCAACAAACTATCTCACTACCAGGACCTATGAAAGGTCATTTTTTAACACTAAAACATAAGGATTAAGATTAAATTTTTAATTAAATGGTACCTTGAAGTGTTTTATGGCATTTTTTTTTTCAATATTAAAGTTTGGCTAAATAAGAGCATCTGTATGCAAGTATCATCTACCATTACCAATTCAGAAATGGAAGATAATTGTGTGAATTATAGAAGGGAAAGGGAGGCAGGACAGGCAACATAACATAATTTTTAAGTGTGTAGACTCTAGAATACCTGAGTTTTAATTAATCAGAAATTGATTAATGAAAGCTAAGTTGCTCTTTGTACTATTTTGATTTTCTTTTAGGTATAATAAAAAGGCAATAAAGACAATATTTGTTTATTCATTTGTTGGTGAAACAATATGTGATGATCCTTCAAAGCAGTTACTGACCTTTAAAATATTGATATTAGAGTTTGTGTGGAGATGCTCTCTTTTCTGGTGTCCTAGTCTATTTTCTGTGGATTGTAACAGAATACCTAAAATGGGGTAATTTATAATGGAGCACAATTTATTTTTTATAGTTGTAGAGGTTGAGAAGTCCAAAATTATGGGCCATGTGTGATTAACAGTCTTCTTGCTGCTATGGATGCTCTGCAGAGTTCCAAGATAATGCAGAGCACTACATAATGAGGGGGCTAAGCATGCTAGCTCAAGTTTCTTCCTTTTCTTATAAAATTACTAGTCCCACTTCTGTGATAATCCATTAGCTTATTAATACATTACACTAGGTATGGATTAATCCACTCATAAGGACACAGCGCTCATGACCCAATCACCTCTTAAAGGCCCCACTTCTCAATACTGCCTCACTGGGGATTAAGTTTCAAGGTAAGTTTCAGAGGGGACAAACATTCAAACTAGAGTATCTGGTAAAAAGATTCCACGAGGAGGGTGTGCAGGCATTGCATGCCTTGGTATAGTGAAGAAAGAAGCTGTGATGTTTGTGCTGTCTATTACCAACAAGGCTCTCAAGCCTTGGTTGTATGAAAGGGGTACAGTCCTTTAAGAAGAACAGTCTAGAGAAGGTTCCTAATAACTATCTCAAGGATTACCTCAGATTTTTCACAGCTTCATATTTGCAAGACAGGCTGAATAGCAACTGAATGACTTCCTAGTAAATTCTGTGATCTTTCAGTCTCCTCATCAGGTCAGAAATAAACTCTGCAGCAGAAATGTGTCAAAAATTTCTGATAACTATTTCAAGGATTACCTAAGATCTTTCAGAGCTTCAGATTTGAAAGAAAGACTGAATAGCAACTGAATGACTTCCTAGCAAATTCTGTGATCTTACATCAGGTTAGAAATTTCTCTATAGCAGAAATGTATCAAAACTTTCTCAAAACCAGTGAGAGCCCAAGCTACTAGCATAAAGAATCCTCAATTAGCATCACTGCATGATGCATCACAGGCAGTCCTCCTTATTTAATGAGTTCCTTTGTGGATACTGCAGTTAAGAACTCAGACCTCAAAACTTACACTAGCAAAAGAAAAGGTGCAATTCCTAGCTATGGCTTCATGAATAGAAATTAAATTAATTTGGCTATGTCTAGTAGGTAAATTGTATTATAAAGGGCTGGCAATTAAAAGCAAATATGACACCTAGAATATAAAAGCTACCAAATTAAGAATCAATGTGGGAAATATGTAAAAAACTCATCCACAAAAATGACTTAAAAAGAGAGAATATTGCAGGTAGGAAGAATGGGAAGTTAGTTTTCACAAAACATCTATTATCTATGACTATACTTCCTTCAACACTTATACGTTTGTATTTTAGACTGTTGATGTAATTATTTTTAACTTGGTTCAATTTTATAGCTATTCAACTAGAAAAATATTGAAATAAGGGTTTCCACATAAGAATGTATTTTGTTGGCCAAGCACAGTGGCTCATGCCTGTAACCCCATCACTTTGGGAGGCCAAGGCAGATGGATTACTTGAGGTCAGGAGTTTGAGACCAGCCTGGCCAACATTGTGAAACCCCATCTCTACTAAAAATACAAAATTAGCTGGGTATGGTGGCATGTGTCTGTAATCCCAATTAAGAGGCTGAGGCAGGAGAATCACTTGAATCCGGGAGGTGGAGGTTGCAGTGAGCCAAGGTTCTGCCACTGCACTCCTACCTGGGTGACAGAGTGAGACTCTGTTTCAAAAAGAAAGGAAAAGAAAAAAAAAGAATGTATTTTGTTTGGCCAGGCACAGAGGCTCAGACATGTAATCCCAGCACTTTGGGAAGCTGAGGTAGATGCATTGCTTAAAGTCAGGAGTTTGAGATCAGCCTGGCCAAGATGGTGAAACCCTGTCTCTACCAAAAAATACAAAAATTAGCCAGGTGTGGTGGCATATGCTTGTAGTGCCAGTGCTTGGGAGGCTGAGGTGAGAGAATTGCTTGAACCCGGGAAGTGGAGGTTTCAGTGAGCCGAGATTATGCCACTGTACTCCAGCCTGGGCAACAGTGAGACCCTGACTCAGAAAAAATTGATTTTGTTCACTTGTTATCTGTTTTTGTTCACTTATTCTTATACTAATATTAGCGTAGATAATTTGTGACTTGTTTAGGTATACTATAAGGTAAAACAATTAAGTATCCACTAGTGTGGTTGGAAACCATTATTTTCAGTGTAAGACAAGATAAATACTAGTAAAACATCAAAGATTTCATGAAAAAGATGAATAGGAGAGATCAGTAGAAACTCACACATTTACATATGAATTCTGACCCCTTGCCAAATCCACTGAAAGTGATGTAGATGTAATGACATCCCACTGGTTATGAGCACCCAGAGCAGTCAGATTGAGGTTTTCAAATATCTTTGCCCACTAAGAGGAACCAGTACTGCTTGAAGAAAGCAGTACTGTAGAACTCAGTGTCTGTAGAAGTGAATATGAGAAGTTAATTTTCTTAACGGTGTATTTTGAAAAGCAGACATTATCATTATAATGAACTCCAACTTAAAAATTTTAATTTTATGCTTTGCATTTTTGTAGCCTGTTTGAAAAATATTTGCATAACTCAAACTCACAGTTTTCTTCTAAAACTTTAGTTTCTAGCTTTATGTTTATGTCCATGACCAACTTCAAATTGATTTTTATATATAGTGTGAGCTAAATGTCAAGGTTCAGTTTTTTGTTTGCACATAGATTTCCATCTTTGTAGCACTGCTTGTTGAAGAGACTACGTTGTCTATTGAATTACTTGATAATTTTGTTTAAAATCAGTTGCTCAGAATCATTATGTATGGCTTGATTTCTGGAATCTGCCTTGTTTCATTGACCTGTCTCAATCTTATGCCAATGCCACAGTCTTAATTATTGTAGCTTTATAATAGGCCTTGATATCAGGTAGGGTGAGTCTACAACATTGCTTTTCTTTTTCAAAGTACTGTGCTCTATTCTAGGTTATTTGCAATCCATATAAATTTCTGAATCAGCTTGTCGATTTCTACCAAAAATTGTTTGCCAGGTTTTGTATGTGTGCATATTGCATCCAACATACAGGTAAGAATTAAGATATCAATTCCACTCTGAGGAGAATGGATATCTTAACAATATTGAATCTTTTAGTCTTTAAACATTGTATCTCTCCAATTATTTAGATATTTTACAAAACCTGCTTATTAGGTCTAGTAAGTATTTTGTGCAGTTTTTGAGATATTCTACGTAGAAGGATATGTTGTCTACAAATAACACTTTCATTTCTTCCATTCCAGCTTGCAGGCCCACTCCTTACTTTGCTTTACTTATTGCACTGACTAAATTTGCCAGTATAATATTAACCAGAAATAGAGTCAAGTAAATATTCTTGCCTTTTTTTCCAACCGTTAAATATGATGTTTACTGTAGGTTTTCTGTATCTGCCCTTTAATTATTTGAGAAGGCTGCCCTTTATTCCCAGTTTATTTAAAGTTTTATTCTAAATGGATGTGAAAATTTTTTGTTAAATATTTCTCCTGCATCTGCTGAACTGATCTTACAATGATTCTGTTTTAGGCTATTGAAATGAAGAATGACATCACTTGGTTTTATATGTTGAACCAACCTTGCATTCCTAAATTAAACTCTACTTGGCCATAATGTACTTTTCTTTTCAAATATTCCAGAATTTCCAGAATTTACAAAGAACTAAAAAAGATTTACAAGAAAAAAACAAACAAGCCCATTCAAAAGTGGGCAAAGGATATGAACAGATATTTTACAAAAGAAGACATACATGAGGCCAGCAAACATATGAAAAAATGCTCATCATCACTGGTCATTAGAGAAATGCAAATCAAAACTGCATTGAGATACCATCTCACTCCAGTTAGAATGGCAATCATTAAAAAATCTGGAGACAACAGATGCTGGAGAGGATGTGGAAAAATAGGAACACTTTTACACTGTTGGTGGGAGTGTAAATTAGTTCAGCCATTGTGGAAGACAGTGTGGCGATTCCTCAAGGACCTAGAAATAGAAATTCCATTTGACCCAGGAATCCCATTACTGGGTATACATCCAAAGGATTATAAATCATTCTACTATAAGGACACGTGCACACGAATGTTCATTGCAGCACTGTTTACAATAGCAAAGACCTGGAACCAACCCAAATGCCCATCAATGATAGACTGGACAGGGAAGATGTGGCACATATACACCATGGAATATTATGCAGCCATCAAAAACGATGAGTTTGTGTCCTTTGTAGGGACATGGATGAACCTGGAAACCATCATTTTCAGCAAACTGACACAAGAGCAGAAAATCAAACACTGCATGTTCTCACTCATAGGCGGGTGTTGAACAATGAGAACACATGGACACAGGGAGGGGAGCACTACACACTGGGGTCAGTTGGGGGGAAATAGGGGAGGGACGGAGGTGGGGAGTTGGGGAGAGATAGCATGGGGAGAAATGTCAGATATAGGTGATGGGGAGGAAGGCAGCAAATCACACTGCCATGTGTGTACCTATGCAACAATCTTGCATGTTCTTCACATGTACCCCAAAACCTAAAATGCAATTAAAAAAAAACAAATATTCCAGAATTTCATTTGCAAATATTGTTAAGATTGTTTGTGTCTATGTTCAGTAGAAATATTGGTCATTAATTATTTTTTTCCTGAATATCTGTCTGGTTTTAGCCTTAGGGTAATGCTAACCTTAAAAATTTTTTCAAAAAGGGATACTTCCTCTTTTCTGGAAGATATATTGTAGAATTAACATTATCTTTCAGTAAAATATTGTTACATTCAAATCTTTTTAATGTTTTCTAAATATCTGTAGATTCTGAAGTAATGTTCTCCCTTTTCATTGCTTACATTGGGTATTTATGCCTTACTTATTCAACTGTAATACCAGAGGATTATCAATTGTATTATTTTTTTCAATCAACAATACATTGTTTTGAGACAGGTCTCACTCTGTCACCCAGGCTGGAGTGCAGTGGCACAATGACTACAGCCTTGAACTCCTGGGGTCAAGCCATCATCCTACCTTGTCCTCCTCAAGTATGGGGATTACAGGCATGAGCCACAATTTTCTTGTTTTATTGTTCCTATTTTGTGTGTTTCCCTATTTCTTCATCTTCTCTTATTTTTATCATGTCCTTTTTACTTTCTTGGAGTTAGATCACAACGTTTTTTATTCTAAACTATTGAGACAGATGCTTAGATATTTTCAGGCTTTCTTTTGCCTGATCTGTACTAACTGCTATACATCTTCCTCTATTACAGGTTTAGGCAGAATAAAATTTGTGAATGGTATGCAGTAAACTTGTTTTTTATTTGTTTTACTCATATGGATAACTGAGCCAGAAGCATTATTGAAAAGGTAAGTTTTCTCCCATTATTCTAGAATGCCAACTTTGTCATAATTCAAGTGTCTACAGGTAATTATCAGTTTTCAGATTCTCTTTTACCATTACCTATATAACCACTGGAGTAATGCCACACTGCCTTAATTTCCACTGTTTTATAAGAAGTCTAATAAATTATCCAAATTTGTTCTTCAAAAGTGTCTTAGCTACCCTTGCCTTGGAGCATTTTCATATATAATTTTAGAACCAAATTATAAGATTTTTTTTTTAAAGCTTGCTGAGGTTTTAATATGGGGTTCATTGACTATTGTGGAAAACTGATGTGACTTTGCTGAGGAGTGAAGAATATGACTAAACACATGTGTTAGATACACTGTCAGGGGCAATTATAGGATGCACAGATTTAAAAAAAATATAAAGAACAGACCATCAGAGCAAGCCTGATAAAAGAATTATGCAAAACAAGACATCAGAGTAAGCTCAATGTAAGTATTGATGAAAACTAGGTATCTCCCATTTACTAATGGGGGGGAAGCTTAGCTCCACATAATTGTAGCTTTAGTTCCATATAAACAGAGCTAAAAATCCACTAAAGTTTTATAGCCATGTGCTAGCTACCTAAATGCTACATAGTATTTTCATTTCTGTTATTCAACAATAAAATTAGCAATTCTATTTTATGATTGGGCTTGCTCCTTTGGATTTCTCTTTCCCCACCCCAACAATATATAAATCACCTGGGACGTGGGGGAAAGACATCTTTAATATTGAGTTCCCACATCTCTGTCCAGTGAACGGCAGTTTTAATACTGAGTTACCACATCCCTGTCCAGTGTACCCTCACTCTATAGTGGTTTGCAACCAGAGGAGTCCCATGTTTTCACAACAGACAGTTCAGCCAAGCAGGAAGGGTATCAAGTAGGTAGGAAATCAAGCAGGAAACATGTGCAGATGCTGTGTTTATCACACAGGCATTCTCAACCTTGCCAAGTATGCTCTCCTGCTGGTCACCGCCAGCAAGGGTGCTCATCTAAAAATGCTTATGGGGGAATAGATGGAATGACAAAAAACACAGTAGGAGATATTTTAGAGACCTCATGTTCTCAAGGCTATGCAGGCATGACTTCTCACCTCAAGAATTTTCCCCTGTAAATTTTCAGGGAAAACAGTTGGGGTTTCAAGGCAAGAATCACTAAGAAGTGAAGAGACATTAGGCAGGTCTTTATGTGCAGTCACCACAGTTTATATAAGTGTATGTAAATAAATGCAAGTATTAAAAAATGTAACCTTAACATAGCAAAGATAAGGCCACCAGGATTAGAAGACAGTAAAATGAGCCACTTACAGGGATGGGCAATCAAAAGCAGAGTGTCCAGAGGGCAAAGCAAGTTCAGACGTGGCTTTTACACATTAGTCTTAGCATCTAATGCTTCAAGAGTAAAGATTTAAAAAGTACTAATATTAACTGAAAATGAGCACTGCATTGTATTTGTACTTACTGATAAAACATACTCAGAGAGGGGAAGTATGTTTGCCTAAAGTCACACAGTCTGTGAATCACTGAGCCAGGATTAAACCCAAGACTATCTGGCCTCAGTGTCAGTATTTTTCAGCTACAAGTTCCCAGCTTGGGGGAGTAAAAGGGAGACCTGCTCAAAATACATCAATCTCAAGGTCCTTTCAGAGGTGCAGGTCAACTTATATGCTTGAGATGGGGAAATGCATATGCATAAACTTTACTGAATATGATCAACCTATCTTTCCATATTTTGTACAAGAACTTTATATGTAGCTTTAGGGATCATGCTCCAGTCCCTTCTTAAAATAGTTTCTAGGTTTTATTTTGTTGTTTACTCAAGCTTTCTTCCACGTCTTTTATAGAAAATTACTTTATGGCCATAATTATGCCAAACTAATATCAGCAGTTTCACAATGGCTGATTATCATTATGTAGTATAAGGAATATGCAACTTGACAATATTCTGTATGCTTAACTTGTGTTGATCATTAAGTTCATAACTTTAAAAGCTTCACATGCCATGTTAAAAATGTTCTTCATTTATATAACTATTTTCCATCATCTTTGCTGGAAAAGTTAGGCACCACCATACTAGAAACATAAATTCCCTTAAAAAATTTTATCTATTGAGATGTTGTCCCCAAGATTATCAAATTAATTCGGTTTCTAGTAAGTATTAAGGCTTGAGCTAATACTAAGGCTTTTCTGTGGCCAGTTCATTATGATTTTACCACTTTATGAATTCTCTGGTGTACAGTTAGTTGTGACTTCTGGATGAAGGCTTTCCCACATATTGCACATTGATAGGGTCTTTCCCCAGTATGAATCCTTTGATGTAAAACAAGGTCAGACTTCTGAGAAAAGGCCTTTCCACATTCAGCACATATGTAAGGTTTCTCTCCTGTATGAATTCGCTGGTGTCCTGGAAGGTGGGACTTCTGAGAGAAGGCTTTCCCACATTCAGTACATATATAAGGTTTTTCTCCTGTGTGAATTCTCTGATGTCCAATGAGATGTGACTTCTGACAGAAGGCTTTGCCACATTCACTACATTTATAGGGTTTCTCTCCAGTATGTGTTCTCTGATGTATGATAAGCTGTGACTTGCGGGAGAACGTCTTCCGACATTCAGTACATTCATAAGGTTTTTCCCCAGTATGAACTAACTGATGTGTAATGAGTTCCGTCTTCCTGCTGAAGGCTTCTTCACATTGAGCACATTTGTAGGGTTTCTCACCAGTGTGAATTCTTTTATGTATAATGAGGTGGGACTTCTCACAGAAGGCTTTCCCACATTCAGTACACTCATACGGCTTCTCTCCAGTATGAGCTCTATGGTGTATAATCAGCTGTGACTTCTGGGAAAAGGCCTTCCCACACTCTCTACATTCATAGGGCTTTTCCCCAGTATGTATTCTCTGATGTATAATGAGGGGTGATTTCTGGGAGAAGGCTTTCCCACATTCACTACATTCATAGGGTTTTTCCCCAGTGTGAACTCTCTGATGTATAATAAGGGATGATTTCTGAGAGAAGGCTTTTCCACATTCAGAGCAATCATAAGGTTTCTCCCCAGTATGAGTTCTCTGATGTACAACAAGATGAAACTTCTCACTGAAGGCTTTTCCACATGCACCACAATCATATGGTTTCCTTCCAGTATGAATTCTTTGATGTACAATAAGCTGTGACTTCTTAGCAAAGGCTTTCCCACATGTAACGCATACACAGGTTTTCTCTTTAGTTTCAACATTCTGATATTGAATAAGGGATTGTGTATTGCTTAAAACATTTCCACACTGATTATCTTCAAAAGGTATTACTCCATTGTGAATCTTCTCAAGATTAGAATTGGGCTCACTCTCACTAGATGATTTTCCAACTCCCAAACTTTGAGCAGGTTTTTTCCTTGAATTGCTCTTATTACAACTCAGTATGTCAATATTTGGTTTTAAATTCTTTTTAAAAGCATCATATTTATGGAATCTCTGTATTGATGTATCTGGTTCTATGCACTGTTGAAACATTGTTCCCAATGGATTATATTTATGCCCTGATGCCTCAGTCACTGTTTTGCTGTTAACAAATGTGACCTGCCTGAAGAGTTTATCTTGATTCTCCAGAAATCTCTGCAGCTGGCCATCACCTTGATAGACTTTTAAAATGGAGCACAATGAACCATCCTTTGTGACTCCTTTCAGTATCTTATGTTGGGAAAAAACTGTCCCCAAAATACATGATTCAGAGTTGTGAAGGTTACTCTTCCTGTCTAAAAGAAGAAAAGATACAATTTAAGAGTCATCACAAGAGTCAGTTAACAGACAGTGAGGAAGTGGAACAAACAGATGATCCAACATAGTAGATGAACTCACAATACAGGGATGGAAACAGGCCATCTCAGAAGACAGTACAGCATATAGAGTTATCAGGTGAATAGATAGACAAGAATGTTTAACAGAAATAGTCACGTAAAAACTAAACTTAGATGAAACAATGTCTGGGTTCTCATCACTCTAATTTTGGATTCTAGAATCTTTCACTTCTGCTTTCTGAATTAAAAAACCCTTTTTACTGTTTAATTTCATTTATATTATAAATGATGTGCTACATATTCTTCTTATCCTGCCATCACTCTAAAGAAGGTATTTTCTGTAAGCAAAATACTTTAACTCTCGTCAATCTATTTTCCTAATAACTAACATAAATAATAGAAAAATCTAATATCCCATTACAGATCCAGCATCACACTGAGAATACAGACTTAAATTCTACGACTCCCAATAAACTACTTTGTATACATGTCAGGTAAAGCTAGCAAAGGTCTCCCAGAAAAGCTATATCTTCCTGACACTAAGGTTTTGTTCATATACTCTCTCTCCAACACCATTTGCTTGCCTTCACCCTCCTCCTTCAGTCTCATCAGGATTTATGTCATTCAGAGCAGTTATAGTTGCAAGCTCTGAAAAATGTCTCTCATATTCTCCCACATCTCTTTAGACTCTAATTTTCTCTGAACTTTTAAAACAGCAACTGTATTTGACATTTAATTTTGTACAGTCATTTATCTGGGAATCTTGCCTTCTATGTTCTTGAAAGGAATTTGCCTTTTATTGCCTTTAAACCCTTTCAGGAAAGACACTATATATATAATGTCATGCAGTTGATGTATGTATATATGCATATGTATGTATGTATGTATATATACTATATGTACATATTTTTAATGATCCTGTCTCCTGCACATGTATGACAGGATCAACCATATGACACTAATGATCCTGTCTCCTGTGTGCGTATGACAGGATCAACAAAAAACAGCACTCCTTTGATAGGCTTCACGATTACCTGTTGAATGACTACTAAATTCTCAGCATAGAAGCAAAGAATAGGAGATTTCAATAAGGATAGAAACATAAGCCTCGGGCACCAATCAATTAAAAAAACACACATAAACTAATATTTCACTTCCCTTGTCTCCCATCTGCCTGATATTCATCTGGATAGATCCAATTTGATATGTCTCTCTTTACGATCCATGGCTCTTCTCCTTGTTCCAACTTGGAGATGACATCTGGTTTGGAAACTGGATACCCTATTAAACAGAAATCACAGAGAATTGGGATTGGCTGCACTAAAGGAAGAAGGTACAGTTTCAGGTGGTCTACAGTGAAGTCCAGTTAGCCCTCAACAAAGGCATAACCTCCATTTGCAAAGGTATGAAGGTCATAAAAGTCATGACATGTGTCAGAAACTACCTAATCACAGCAAGCGATAAGGAAAGCACTTGATTGGACAACTCTGAGTTACTCAAAGAAGCCATCCTTACCCATTGAGACCAGGTGGCTATAGTTCTCCAGCATCACGTCCCTGTACAGGGTCCTCTGAGCAGGGTCAAGTTGCTGCCACTCCTCTTGGGTGAAATCCACAGCCACATCCTTGAATGATACTAATCCCTGTAACAGTACATTCCTGTTCAATCTGAAGTCATCATTCTCATAATTTCTACTATAGTGTGCACAACTATGCCCACACCTAGTTTTGTATCATATAGTTTTTGGGAAAAACGTAAAATCCAGTTTTTAGCAAGCAGAGCCAGGCATATGAGCAGAAAAAAAAAGAGGTAAACCATAAAATGCCTACCTGATACATGTAGTAATTTCATAAGTTTTAAAGGCAGCACCCAAATAACTGAGAGGAAGATGGTTTATTGGATGAATAGTAAACAGGAAAATAATAACGTTGAAGAAATATTATGGGTTGAGTTGTATCTCCTGAATATTTATATGTTGAAGTCCTAACCCCCAGTACCTCAAAATGTGGTATGACTTGGAAATAGGGTCATTGCAGATATAACTAGCTACATGAGGTCTTTAGGGTGGAACTGAATCCAATATGATCCATGTCTTTATCCAAAGGGGGAAACTTGAACACAGACAAAGACATGTATAGAGGGAAGATAATGTGAAGTGAAAAAAGAAGATAGTTAAGAAGCCAAGGAGAGAAAAATGAAACAAATACATCCCTCACAGTCCTGAAGAAGGAACCAACCCTGCGGACACCTTGATTTTGGACGTCTAGCCTCTAGAACTATGAGACTAAATTTCTATTGTATAAGCCACCCAGTTTGTGGTACTTTGTTATAGCGGCCCTAGCAAACCAATACACTATATCATACCTGGGCAAAAAGAATAAATTCTGATGGAATAAAAATTTAAACTCTAAAAAGTGCTAAAGACTATACAAGTAACAAAATAAGAAATGGGAGAATTAGTGATAATAGAGCAGAAAAGCCCTTTGTAAGCCCATTTTTTTAAAAAAAGAAAAGCTACATTTAGAGAACTATAGAATGTCAGAGCTCTAGAAGATCATTAATCTCTTTATTTCACAGGAAAATGACCTTAGCTTCCCCAAATTTAATAGCTCTCTTATATACATATAATAGCTAGTAACAGAATGAATACACCAATTACAGTAGCAACAAAAAACAAGAAATCCCAAATAATAAACTCAACAAAAAATGTACAGAAAACATTAATGAAGAAACCACAACAAATTAGTGACACAACATCAAAAAAGAATTCGGGTAAGAGTAGAGTTACAAAATGTTTCTGGAGGGAAAATTGATTATTTTAATTATGTCACCATTATCCTCACAATGGTTGTTAAGTAATAGCAGAAACTAATAGTGATTTGTATTGTTTTAAATAAATTGTTCAGACTTTTTTTCTAAATATTCCATTATTACCAAATATCACTTTCAGAATGAAACTGATTATTTCAAATGTCAACACTGCCTGCTTAAAAGCCTCCTTTGTTTTCTTCTTTGCTAACAGTCTCATCCCAGTCATCTCAAATCTCAAGTTTTCTCTCATCCCACACCAATTCCATATGCACACCATTAAGCTGCCAAACATTTAGTTGTCCATGACAACCCTGTTAATTTTCCTGTTGTACATATAAGACAACAGGGGATTACAGTGGTTAAATACTTGCTAAATTACATATTAAATATGTGAGTGATGAACTCTCATATCTGCAAGATTTATTCCCACTCAATACTCTAGGTTCTTGACTACTGCAGTCCAAACTGCCTCCTTGATATAGTAAACATCATGATCTTTTATATTTTATCATTTCAATACCACCCTTAGTTGACCTTTCCATGAAGCACTCTCTATTTTAGTTTTCCTAAAATCTTCAGCCTTCCTAAAATCACTCTGTCCTTTCTACTTTTACAATTGCTGCTTCCTGTCCTCAGCCTACTTCCCTCATGAGCCAAGGTTAATAATCATTTAAGCCTATTACCTGCTTCCTTAGAAATCTGGTTGTTCCTCCTGCTCTGCTATAACAGTACCTGCTCCCATGTCTGCTATAGGACTTTTATGTGTTGGTTTCCACATCTTTTTACTCATTTTCTCTCTGCAGTCCTCCCAGAAGAAAACTAAACCTAAATCTGCTTGAGATATTCAACAACTAGGCCAGTGCATATGACATATACTGGGTACTTAAGAAACATTTGTTAAAAAGAAATGAATAAAGATTATAAAGAAAAAGTAAATTAAAATTCATGTTTAGTTAAAAACTTTTGTGTATTAGTCTACATTTTTTTGATCTGAAAAGTAACATAAGAAAGATAAAGGAATATAGAGGAAATCCATTGTGAGACATAAATTCATAGATGTTATCATTCTAATATTCTGATTTTGCTTTATTAATGATACTCAAATGCTTCCATATAAGTAGGTATAAATTTCTTAATTTTGAAAAAATATAGGACACAATCAGTGGAAAATTATACTTCTGTCACCTATGAACAACTTTTACAGCTCGGTCCCTGGGGAAATGGAAGTGCTACAAAGAGATGGAAGCAGTGAAAGGGAAGTAGATGTTACAGACTGAAAAGGAGGCTATATGTAATAATGACTTCACTTCTGGATGCTAGGGAACAAATATAAAGCCTTCTTCCTGAAGAAACAGCATTTAATCAACTAATTAGCCATAGTAGTTGGATTTATTGAGCTAATTAAAAAATCCATCCTCCTTCAAAGCAGTGCTATGTAACAGAAATATAAAGCTAACCAGAGAGGCAAGTTTAAATTTTCTAGGAACCACATTCAAAAAATTATTTTTAACAGTATGTATTTATTCTAACATATTACTCAAGATATCATTTCAACATGTAATCAATCCTTAAAAACTACTAGTGAGTTTTTTTGAAATCTGGTATGTACTTAACATGACATATCTCAATTCAGAGTAGCCAGTTTCAAGTGTTCAGTAACCAGATTTGGCTGATGGCTACTATATTAGACAGTATGGCTCTAAAGCAAAGCTACTGAAATCCAAAAACAAAAACAACAATGAAAAACTCTTTTTGCAACAGAACTCTAAACTCTATTGTAAAATATACATAAGGACTCCTAACGTAAAAGCTGATTTCAAGATTTGACAATGATAATGATGATGACGATATAACAGCTGACATTTGAATACAGTACAAACCATGCCCCAATGATAGTTTCACGCATGGTTTTTACTCAATTCTCACAACAACCCTGTAAGGATTATAATCTCTATCTATAAGGTGAGGAAACAATCCCAGGCAACCAGGCTACAAGGAAATATTATGTACCTGATAAAATAATAAAGGATTTTTCCATATAGATTTATTGGGCTAATTAAAAAATCCATATAGAATTCTCCTTTATTATTTTATATAGAATTCTATATAGAATTTCATATAGAATTCTCCTTTATTTATCAGGTACCTAGTATTTCCTTGTGGCCTGGCTGCCTGGGATTGTTTCCTCACCTTATAGATATGGAAAGATCTCTCAATGTATACAAAAGACCTTTATATTGGACAGTAAGTTAAAAATCAGGTTGCAGAACAAAATGTTTACTATAACATTCTTTTTCCAAAGGAAAAGCACAGAAAATAGGAGACATTCTCACACATTTGTACTTTTACATATAAACAGTTAATTACAGTTATATTCATATCAAAGAATGTTTGGAAAGTTAGAAGCAATGGTTAACACTGATTATCCTGGGAGAAGGAGAGTTTAAGTTAAAAGGTCTCTTTGTTTTTAATTTTTATCTTTTATATAATTTTAAATGTTTATACCATACATATAGCAAATGATGGCAGAAAGAAAAAATAATACAAACTTTTAGAAATCAGAATGCAAAGAAGGAACAGCCTTGAAATTGACAGGAATCCTACAAATTAGAAAGCAGGGCAAAAGATGGCGCATCAGGGACCTTTGCCCTCCAAAGATTTGCCAGGTAATTTAAGAACTGCTTTTTTGAGAGAAATATATAGTTTAAAAGAACATTTAAAATATGCCTATCTTATGTTAATGAATTTACCTGTGGATAAAGCTGTATTATAGGAAGCATCTGTAATCAATTTATTCCTCAAAAGCAGAGGTCAACAAACTTTTTCAGTAAAGTTTTTATTTTTGGCATTGTAGGCCATATGGTTTCTGTTGCAACTACTCAGCTCTGCCATTGTAGCAAGAAAACAGCCATAGACAACACGTAAACAAACAGCTTGGCTGTGCTCCAATGAAACTTTGTTTATAAAAACAGTTGGAGAAGAGAATTTGGGCCATGGATAATAATTTGCCAACCCCCACGCAAGAATAAGGTTCAAAGAGTTTAGCTAGACATTATGGTACATCCCCTCTAAAAAAGATCATTTTAAGACACCACTACAAGAAACCTACTGTGGATTTGCCAAAGGAGTGTTGGTGAGGACACTGTGCACTCCACCTCCTAGAGTAAAAGCCAAAAATGATTTTTTTTTTCAAGTCTTATATGGCAAGAAATATTTTCTTACCATGGGAAATTTATCTTTCTCTTTAGGGAAATGCAAATCGTGTAACTCATGATGTCTGCAAGAAAGATCAGAAAAATTAGTACACTGATTTCTAAAAATGGTTTCCAGCCAGGTTTTTTACATATTACCTAGCAACTCTTTCTAGGTCTTGATCTTTATTGTTACCACCTTTTCCTTAATCTAGATTTTAGCTATCTTTACTTTCCATTTTATTGTACGGAAAACTAAAGAAGAAATTTTTTTTAAAAAAGCAACTCACCTGGGACTTCATCATTTTTTGTTCTTCCAAAAGGCCAGATGACTGAAAAAGCAAAACTGGTGATCAGAATGTTTTTCATAGGCCAAACCCAGACTGCAGCTTTCACTTTCACCAGCCTAGCAACAACTAACATCAGAAGTCAGGTAGTTAATGGGCTATCCTGTGGGATAATGTTGTTTGAGCCTTACAGAAGGATGAGCAGGCACCATGTGGAGGAGGGATCATTCTTTACTCCTCTTTTACCTATAATATGATCAACATAGAAGTTCGCCAAGGTTTTATCATTGGGTAGATGTGAAGATATGTTTCCAGTTGATTTAGTAACAACTTATTGCTCCCCCAGGGAATCAGGAATTCTATTTATAGAAGATTTTCATGAGGCAATAATCATGAGTAGATATATATAGATACAAGTGAAGACGGAGCTCCTTGGCAATAAGAATGGGAATGACTAGATGGAAAACTGAAGCATTCATTCCCTATTCCTAAAAAGAACCAGCAGCTGAATCCAACAATCTTCCAAAAACTCTCTCATTTCCCCCAACTCAGAAAACTCTTGTTATATCAATATGCATGAACTCAAAGGTTAATTTTAAGATGTTTTTTGTTTAAATTTGTTTTGCTGATTTTCAATGGCGCTATTGTCTGCATACAAAACGGAGATAGGTTTCAACCACTGAGAAAAGAGAATATACTACAATGCAGGAAGGTACATACCTGGTAAACTTTTCTCAGTCCTGGGACAAGTCATGCAGACAGAGCTGAACTAGTTCAGAGGAAGTGGGGGCTCCCATGACGGAGAGATTATTTTATATGGAGTATCCGAGGCTGTATCAAAACAGATCTAAAAGGAAACAAAAGAAACAGTCATACCTATCTCTGGACACCCAGCAGATGCTCAACAAATGTTTTTTGAATAAAAGATAAAATGATTTCAATAAACTTAGAAAGTAGAGACTGAAATCAAACTTTTCATTATGATTCTATCAGTTTTGATTTGTTTGGTCTTGTTTTTAAATGATCATATCTGATGGGGGCACCAGGCTTAGGGGGCAATGGCAGACTAAGAAAAGATGTGAAAAGGGGCTTGACCTTTAAGAACTCAGCAGTTGCCTATGAGCTGCGGAAATTTAATGTAAGTAAAGGCCTTCCCCAGTAAAATGTAGCTGACCCCCAGGACACCCTGGTCCCATTACTGTCTCCATCTAAATCTCGGAAGTCTCAGGCCTAGCAATTATGTACCCTACTGAATTCTCCCATACAATTATGTACCTACTGAACGCCCCCATCATTTAGTCCATACCATTCTATCACTGATTCCTCAGAGCCCCCTAAATCACTGACACCAGTTAAACCCACCAGTCAGTCCACCTGCACGCCATTCCTGACCCCAAAGACACCCCCTCACCTCTCACTTCCCAGTTACTAATCACATCTTGGACTCCTACATAAAACCAACTACCTCCCCAAACAGTGACTTGATAAACCTCCTACCACTGACCCTCACGGGCTCCTCTCCTTCCATTACCAATCCCACACACTCACCTTTGACCAAACACATCCCCGCCTCTGACTCCTAGCTCGATTATCAGATCCCCAAACCCCCATCACCGCTGAATGGGAACCGCTGTCACATCCATATTGGCGAACTCTCTCGCTTCCTGTCCGTGAGCGCAACGCTGGGGTCCCCAGGCAGGGCTGTTCCGTACGGGGCGGTTTTGCCCGTTTCGCATCTTCAGTGGCTTTGTTCAAAAGGCAACATGGCTGCTCCCAGATGCTGTTTCCGAGTGGGGCCGCCATCTTGAGAGCCTGGTTGTTTCCGTACAAGCGGAGGATTTGCCGGGTATTGAGCCTGAGCGTGGGCTGTACCACCGCGGCAGCAAAGGGAGGGGAAGACGACGGGAAGGAGGCCTAAGACAGGAACAGTAAGGTGCACACTTTTGCAGACAGATTTTACAAGAGAGATTGAAGAGGAAGTTGGAGTGAGCTTCCCTCTACTGGAAGAATGTTTCTGACGTAAGGGGAGGAGTTTGAAATAGTACCATGGAGGTGTTTGTGAATGGTACAGCCCTATGCCGGGAGATTCGATTTGCTGCGAGGGGTAGCGTGGAATGGTGCGGTCCTCTCCTGGGAGATTTAACTGAGGGACGAGAGAGGGCCAAAATCTGGGGGCGAGGAGGGCCAAACAGTCATTGTGAACTGTAATTATGCCAATAACAACGGTAAGGAATTCTTATAAGAGAAATTGATATTGCAGTAATAAATTATAGAGGTCGACTGAAGGAAAAACGGAAATTAAGAGGCAGGGAAGAGGAGACTGAGGCACAAAGAGAGGGACAGTGAGAAGCAGAGAATAGAGAGAAAATGGGGGAAATGGGGACAAAGGGCAGGCCTAGAAAGAAGGAGAAATGGGAGACTAAGAGAAAAAAAATAGACATAGGAATAGAAGGGGGAAGCTAAGGGATAGAGCGCTATAGCGAGACTGAGACAGAAGAGACTTGAAAAGCAGAACCTTCATAAGGGAAAGACTGAGGAGGTTAGATTTCACAGACAACAACCACCGTGATTTTTAAAAAAATGAACCAGTGAAAGAGAATACTAAAATTGTTATCTTAACCTTTAGGCCTTATATCAAGCTTTACCAAAAAAATGCATGTTCACAGACCAATGTTTCATTTGTATGAATGAATACAATTTTGAATCATAATTTTCACACAAATCATGCTTTTTGATATATTATGAAATCGGCAGCAATTTTATATTTAGCAATTTTATTTCTCATGTCAAAACAAATGCAGACTTAGATAAGAAGACAATGTATTTGGAAAGATTGTCCGCATGAAGAAGAATGTTGCGATCTCATATCTGCAAGCATCACAATATCCAACAAAATGGCTTTCTTTTTTTAAATAGGGAAGAGTAAGAAGGGTTAGCAGGAACTTTGTAGGGAGGAGGATATGAGGTAGGGGTGTGCAGGTGGCAAAACCAGGGCATTTCTACAGGAATTGTTGCTGTTGTCATGGGATTCTGGGAGTAAGCGGTTAAGGGGAGACGTTCTGCATCGTAGTACATGAGTGCAATGTTTCAACTCACAGCAAGCCAAAATGTAGGGGCCTGCGGGAAGGAGAGAAGTCGGACTAAAAAAAAACAAAACAAAATCAGCACTTCCAGCCAGGCCACCAAGCACCATCTCTTATCTGCCTGAGAGCCCAAAGCCAGCGTTGTATATAACTGTGGCAGGACTAATCCCCTTCGTTGCTCCAGCACTGGTCATGCTGATGACAAAAACTTATATTCCCATATTAGCTTTCACTCATATAGCTTATGGAGTCAGTTTCCTATCTTTCTTGGGTGGGATCAGATGGGGTTTTGCTCTACCAGAAGGTTGTCCAACCAAACCAGATGTCCTTAATTTGGCTAACAGTACAACTCCTCTTCTGTTTTCATGGTTTGCCTTCCTTTTTTCTGAAAAACTTGGTGAAGCAGAAGCCATAGTCACAATAATAATGGGTCTGGGGATAGCATTACACCTTGAAGCTTTTCTCTTACCACATTATCCCAACTGGTTCAAAGCCCTGAGGTTAGTAGTCACTTTAGTGGCCACTTTTTCACTGACAATCACTTTAATAGTTAAAGATGTTTTTTTCCGAAAAAGGACATAAGAAACCTGGTCAAATATAAAAATACACTGTAGATAACACTAGTATGCTGGTTACACCTTTTTCTACTTCTGTTTGGCTCTTTTTTCCCACACCAATGGTAATTTACTCTTCCAGATTGTTCTTCATTTCTAGAAGTTGTTATTTCATAGTAATTACTTGAGCAAGCGCTTGAAAATCCCTGTCAAATGCTTTCATCTCATAGTAAACTAGTTTTCAGTCATTTTATGAATAATATAGTTATCCACTTAAACATTTGAATGTTTTAGCTGTCTCGAAAATTAAAAGATTAAAAATTTTTTTTTTAAATCCTTTTTTTTTTTTTCTAGAATAATTTGAAGCTCTTGGCTCAACATTTATTGCCTCCTTCCTTTGCTCCTCATGTCCCAGAATGCCACCCTCCCCGACGGGGACTGAGCGCTACTGGTACTGGTGGGAGGGGTAGGTGCTGTGGCCGTCCTACTCATCGGTGGTGAGGCAGTGCAGCATGAAGTGGCCCAGGTCATGTTTGGAGATGACCCTCGAGGGCCCTCGTCCATCCAGGGTCACCGTGTACGCCCCAGTTAGCGGCTGGTCTCCTGGCAGAGAGAGATCCAAGATGGCTGGCTGATCACTAGCAGCTCGGAATTGTAGCTCCCACTGAAAGCGCAGAGAATGAGAGGACGCCACACTTTCAGATGAATTTTTGTTGCTCACGGACCAGGAGATTCCCAGTGGAGGAGCCCCACGGGTCACCAGCGCGACTCTTGTGGCCGGCGCGGCGGTTCTCACTGCAGAGTAAACGGGACTGGCTCCCCTTTTGGTCAACGAACGTTTGGAGCTCCAGGAAGGCAGAGTCTCCCATTCAGCTGATTGAAAAAGGGACTCAAGAGGGAAGCCAGACCGGAGATTCCCGAGCAGAAAAGCACCAAGAATCTTAATGCCGCTGTTTTAGCCGGCGCAGTGGGTTGCTCAGATTTCAGTGCTGGGAATCAACAACTTTTTTTTGAAAGAGAGAAAGAAAGAGAAAGAATTAAAAAAAAAGAAAATGAAAAAAAAAAAAGAAGGAAGGAAAGGAAGAAAGAGGAACAGGCCCTTCCATCAAGCACATTCGGCCCAGCTCCCCTCCCCTCCCATCTCCCTGGGAGGTGGCCCAGGCCCCGGGTGCTGGAAGGACTCACCTGCACGAAGTACAGGACAAAGACCAGGATCCCACACCAGCTGTGCAGGCTGTACAGAATCTTAGATATGTCTTTCCCCGAAAGAGGAAAGACGGTTCAGTCGCCATGTTGACGCCGCCAGAAACACTTGCAGCCTGGGCCACTTCCTGAGCTACTGCCCACATGGGAATGCCGGAGAGGCCTGCCAGAGCCAAGCGCCAGGCTGCTGAGCCCCCGGTCCCCCGCAGGCTCGGTTGTACCTCGCCCCTCCCTGCTGGTTTCGCCAGCCCACGGCTGAGCGCTTGTTTCAGCCCCTGGGGCTGGGCTGTTCCTGACCAGCGAGGAGTGAAAGGCCTCGGGGCAGTGCTCACCTGCTCCTCCTCACAGGCTCCCTCAGAAAGAGACCCAAAGCAGAGAGAGAGCTTGAAGATGGGGTGGAAGGAAGTCATTTTGGACCAGAGCCAACCCACAACACAATGCAGAGCTATTGCTTTTTTTGATAAAGCTCTGCATAAGATGTAACCTTCTGACCGCACTGATCCATGCTGCCCTGGTCATTCTACAACATTATATAGTGTTATTTCCCCTTACCACTGATGACATCAGAAATTACCTTAATTTTCCCTTTTTATAAACTTCCAGTTCCTCTTGATTGTAAGCACCATGAAAATGAAATAGTGTTTATTTCCGTCACAAAAAAAAATCTAAAGATTTTTTTAGGCAGCTCTCTGGGAATAACTTTCCCCAGCACTCCCGATGGATTTCCAGTCAATTCAGAAGCATTTTATCAGTGAAGCCCTCATTATTCCAGTTCACTGTTAAAGCCAGTAATTCTCTATATTAAATGGTCCCTGTTTGAAAAATATATTTTTTTTTTTATCAGCAGAAAAGTTTTATTCCTTTTGAGGACAAACAATTAAACCACATCCAAGGTCTTAACTTACGAACAGAAACCAAAGTAGCCATTGAAAGCATTAGATATTGGGTACAAGACATACACTGGGGAGAATGCTTCGCCATCTGAAGCTCACACCACACTGGCCCAGTGGAGAGCTGTGCACTCTGCTCGTGCTTGGGTGTGGCTGAGGGGAAGGCATGTCTGCAGGATGGAAGGAGGACAGCTGTGTTTCACAAGTACTAAAGCGTTTTAGACTGCATGGGGAGGTATGTATTTTCACGTTGAAGGGAAGAGGGGAAAACAGCAAAGTCCCTCCCACAAACCATTAGGCTGCCTTGCAGAGAGCCATGGCAGAGAAGCGGACCTCTCCCTGCTCACGCTCGGTGAATTCTCTGCAGAGCTTGGCAGCATCCTGCAGCAGGGTGTCCTCTGAACTGGTGCCATGGTTCACCGGAAAAGGCATTCGTCCATTAAGTTCATAGAGGTGGCCATCCACATTGTTAATCTTCTGGTTAACAGAATTACTGTCTGTCATGAACCTGCCAATTTGTACGTGTTAAGCAGCTGACAGATGATACAAAAAAACGAAGATACACTGGATTGTACTCGATGAGTCTGAAATTAGCGTTCAAGAAGCGTGGTGCCTCATGCTATAACAACACTTTATTCTTAACTGTGCAGCCAGTGTCAGGTATACCAAAGCATTCCTCTGACTGCTTTTTGGGGCAGTGTTGATAGGAGTGAGGCATTTTGAAAAATCCAAGGAAAGCCTGTGTTCCAGTCCAGAGCTGGTACCTGCTTTAAGAAGCTGTTACAAGGCTTGTTGGTAATGTTTTGGATCTTTGTAAAAATTGATATTCTGTATAACAGAGTGCCTCTGTTACTTTTGGCCTACCTTGTTAGACGTAAGATGATATCTTGTATAGTTAGAATTAAGTTTCTGTCCATCTCCAGATACATTGAAAAGTTTTAGAGTGTTACGGGCTCTAAAGTGCTATGAAGAACAATTGCTTAGGAGGAGGAAGGGAAAAGCATACTTATGTTGGTGTGTAGGCATGCACGGAGGTCTCGCGGCACCACAACAAGGCCCTGTTCTTAGCACATCCTCTGTTCTCTACATGTCATGCTTCAAGAGTTCAAGCTGGCCTGCTGTGAAGCCAATGGCTATTTTAAAGTGCTGGCTGCAAGATTAAGCCAACTCTTGTACAACTGGCCCAATCCTAATGGTCATTTCTTCTAAAAAAAAAAAAAAAAAATTTTTTTTGGGTTTTGTGTGTGTGTGTGTGTGTGTGTGTGTGTGTGTGTGTGTGTGTGGAAGGGTGTGGGTGTTGGGATGGGGGTGAATTTGAAGTTAAAACTAGAAACAAGATGATGTGGTCTGCTAGCTCTCTGCTTAGACAATTGGATTTACATAGAGGCCAGGCCAGAGAGTGGTAATTTATGGCTTGTGTACAGACAAGCATTTATCCAGGTTGCGTTATCCAAACTGATTTGTTAATGCTCCAGGTCACGTTCTTACACTAAGAAAATCATTCAGTAAATGAGACAAGTTTAGGAAAAACTAATAAAAGAAACCTGTCTTACAAAAAAAAAAAAAAAAAAAAAAAGCGTCTAGTATAAGACGCTTCCTCCTCTGACAGATTTTAGAACAGAAATGCCTTGTCTTGCAGAATATGATGATGGCTTATGGTATAGAGCGAAGATTGTTTCCATAAAAGAATTTAATCCTTTATCTATCCTGGTACAATTTGTTGATTATGGATCAACTGCAAAGCTAACATTAAACAGACTGTGCCAAATTCCTTCTCATCTTATACGGTATCCAGCTCAAGCCATAAAGGTTTTCTTGGAAGGGTTTAAACCTCCCTTAAGGGATCTAAGGGAGACAAGAATACCATATTGTCCCAAATGGAGCATGGAGGCACTATGGGCTATGATAGACTGTCTTCAAGGAAAACAGCTTTATGCTGCATCCATGGCTCCAGCACCAGAACAAATAGTGACGTTATATGACGATGAGCAGCAGCCAGTTCATATGCCATTACTAGAAATGGGGCTTGCAGTTAAAGATGAACAAGTGCATAAGTGTATACAGCGAAGATAATCTGTAGGAGCCTAGAAGAAAGTTTTCTGTTATATTTAGACCCGAAATGGGTCTAAATATAAGAGGAAAGACTATCTAAATATCTCTTCTGGTCCGTGTGAAGAAAAGTGCGGCCCCCCTGGGCATCGCCATCGAGGGTGGTGCCAACACCCGCCAGCCCCTGCCTAGGATTGTCACTATTCAGAGAGGTGGCTCAGCTCACAACTGTGGGCAGCTCAAGGTGGGCCACGTAATCCTGGAAGTTTATGAGCTGATGCTTCGGGGCAAGGAGCACCGGGAGGCTGCCTGCATCATTGCCGAGGCCTTCAAGACCAAGGACCGTGACTACATTGACTTTCTGGTCACTGAGTTCAATGCAATGCTCTAGAGGCCACGGCCTGAGGGCCTCCCACCACTGCCCAGCCCCTGGACCTGGTCCCTTCTCACCGTTGGCTTCATCAAGCTCCTTGCAGGGTTGGGGCTGCATGGCCAGGGTAGCAGGAAGATATCCCCACTAAAATCTAAAAAATTTTTTTAGATTTTTTTTTAAAAGGGGTTCATTTTTTTAGATTTTTTTTTTAATCGGGGGTACTGTGCATCTCGGGGGTGGCTGTGCGCCATCTGGGGCGGCCACGCACATCTTGGGGAGGCATGTACATCTCAGGGGACATGCACATTTGGGGGGGTTCATGCTTATCTTGCGGGGGCTGTGTGCATCTGGGACAGCTTTGTGCATCTCAGGGGGCTGTGCGCTGCTCCTCTGAGCTCTGCTTTTTCCTTGCAGCCTTGGCCTCAGCATGGAGGGGAGGGCCACAGCATCCACCCCTGCAGCGCTGCCTTACTACATGGCCTTCTCCCAGCTGCTGGGACTGACCTTGGTGGCCATGACTGGCACTTGGCTTGGTCTGTACCGAGGCGGCATTGCCTGGGAGAGCGACCTGCAGTTCAATGTGCACCCGCTCTGAATGGCCATAGGCCTGATCTTCCTGCAGGGAGATGGTGAGTCCAATAGCTGCTCCGATCTGCCCGGGCTTGTGGGGGTCCCTGAGAGGCAAATTGCAGGGGTCCTGTCACCCCTGCAGTCTCTTCCGGTTGGACAAATCTAAGATTTGTCATCTTAGTAGTTCACCGTGCGCCCATCCTCCTCATCTCTGGCCAGCCCTGTCCATCCTGCCACCATCCCCACCCGGCCAAGACGCCCGAGGGTACCCGAGTTGGGTGGGTGCAGCAAACCGGGGCTTCTAGCTTTTTCCCAGGCAGGACGGGGGTAGCACTGGCTCCTGTCCTTCCTGGGCCCCAGCCCAGCCATGCAGAGCTCACTGGGAAAGCAGGAGCGAGCCAGCCAGAGAGAAAGCAGGGAGGGGCCAGAGGACACCATGGGAGAGGCAGACGGAGGCGCAGGGGTCACAGGTTCTGGCAGCACTGCATCTTGTTGGGCTTCTGTCCATCCGTTGTGGGTGGCACGCTGATGTCCACCACGTTGTTCCCAGGGGACTTGTCATGGGTGGCGCGGTCTGCTATCTGTCTCTGTGACACGATGCGGTAGATCTCTGTGAGGATGTTCTTGAAGGCTTCCTCTACGTTGGTGGAATCCAAGGCAGAGGTTTCGATGAAGGACAAGTTGTTCTTTTCTGCAAAGGCTTGGGCCTCGTCGGTGGGCACAGCCCGCAGGTGGCGCAGGTCACTCTTGTGCCCACCAGCATGATGACGATGTTGCTGTCTGCATGGTCCCGAAGCTCCTTCAGCCAGCGCTCCGCATTCTCATAGGTCAGGTGCTTGGCAATGTCGTACACCAGCAAGGCGCCCACAGCGCCAGGGTAGTACGCGGAGGTGATGGCGCGGTAGCGCTCCTGGCCGGCGGTGTCCCAGATCTGCACCTTGATGGTCTTGCCATCCACCTGGATGCTGCGGGATCTTGGGCCTTTGATGATGAGGAAGACAGATGAGATCCTTGGGTCTTAGTAGGGTATTTAGCAAAAATACCCATAAGAGAACATCTCTTGTTCTAAGACATGTCTAACCTTCTGTGACATCCCACCCTGGGGGCTAAAAATGTCAGCCACCTTCATCAGTAATAACACAGCAATCCAAGAGCTCTTCAAACGTGTCTCCGAACAGTTTACAGCTATGTTCAGGCGCAAGGCCTTCCTGCACTGGTACGTGGGCAAGGGCATGGATGAGATGGAGTTCACCGAGGCCGAGAGCAAGCTTAATGACCTGGTGTCAGAATACCAGCAATACCAAGATGCCACAGCTGAGGAGGAGTTTGAGGAGTGTGTGGAGGAGGAGGAGGTAGCCTAGAAACTTCCTTTTCTAGGTAAAGGGGGAAGCAGTGTTGATTCTTTAGTGTGTTCTGATAGCCATTGTCAGTACGCACTTCTTTGTCTTTTCATCTTCTCCTGCTGTATTTTAAAGCATTTTCATAGTAAGTAATTTGGCCTAATAAAACATCTTAATAGAAAAAAAATTTTTTTTTTTTTTTTTTACCTTACTGCTTTAATCTGCACGCTGTGGGGTGGGGGTGGGTGCCCCTCAGCGGTGCCTTCTGGGACACACGCGGGTGGGGGCTGGCACGGGAGAAGGAGAGCACCTGCAGGGCGGGCCGGGTGGCGGATGGACGGGCGGGCGGGCGGGCGCGTCAGCCGCAGTTCTTGGGCAGGCGGTAGACACCGGCCGAGTAGACGAACACCTTCTTCTGTAGGTAGCCCTGCAGCTCCTGCAGGTCGATCTCGGCCAGCGCGGGCCCGGTCACCACGAACATGTGCAGCATGTTGTAGATGCGCTCCAGCGAAAGGCTCTCCAGGTTGGTCAGCATGGCCTGGATGTAGGTCCAGAAGAGCAGCAGCTCCTCCTCCTTCTGGTCGGCCTGGGAGGCCATGCCCGAGTCGCTCTCGTCGTCACTGTCGATGAGCACCATGCTGTCCCTGTCCTGAGGCCGCTTCTCCTCGATGACAGAGAAGGTGCCCGGGGGGCTCCTCCCGCAGCACGCCCTGCTGAAGTGACACAGACATCCTCCGCCGCAGCAGCACCACGGGCATCTTCACCGCCTTGCTCAGCTCCTCCAGGGTCCAGCTGGCTTGGTCCTGAAAGTACAGCAGAACCACCGCCTGTACCGGGGTGACTGCCACAGACAGCGTGCGGTCGGCCAGCTCCACATCCATGATCACCAGGCCCAGAGTGTGCTTCCAGCTGAGGGTCCGCATGGCCTTGAGCTGCTCATACTTCTTGCAGTAAGCCTCCAGGGCTGCCCTAATGTCCTCGGGGACCTCCAGCTTCTCGTCCTTGAAGGGCGGCCAGAACTCGCTGGACAGGATGACAGCGTAGACCCCGAATGGTGGCTGCTCCTCCGCCGGCCGCTTCTCGTCCTTCTCCCGGATGTTGGCATTGATGCGGCGGGAGTCCGCCATGTCCTTCAGCATGACCTCGCAGAAGTGTATCTGGGCCTCGCCGAAGCGCAGCTTCAGCAGTTCCACATTGCGGATCTCCCGCTCGGGGCTGAAGCTGAGCTGGTGCAGCAGGCGGTCGGCCAGCAGCGAGCGGTACTCGTTGATGAACAGGTCCTTGCTGCCGTAGATGCTGACCAGCAGGCTGATGATGTCCGAGGAGCGCCGCTTGGAGCTGGACCAGGGGACTGCTTATGGATAGCCTTAGTAGTCTGTCATCTCCTTGTTCAGGGAACAAGCCCAAGCCTTGATGAAGCACTGCAGAGGGTTAATACGAAAGTAGAGACGCTATAACTCTTGTTCAAATAATCCCGTAATCCTTGAAGGCTCGCTAGAAGTCCATTGCTTCTTCCTCGTCTCCTGTCTGTGTTCCACTCCTACAGTACAGGGTCCCAGCGTCCCCGCCCGGAGGTCCGGGCGATACTCGGTCTCCTTCTTGTCCCTCCTGGCGACCTCATCTGTGCAGCCTGTAGGCACTTTTTTCTCTTCAGCGTGGGTCTCGACGCGTGCTCTTCCCTGCAGCCTCCCTCGCGATGCTAGAGTAGAATGGCGCGATCTCGGCTCACTGCAACCTCCGCTTCCCAGATTCAAGCGATTCTCCTGCCTCATCCTCCCAAGTAGCTGGGATTACAGAGACGAGGTTTCATCGTGTTGACCAGGCTGGTCTTGAACTCCACTCACCTCGGCCTCTCGAACCGCTAGATTTACAGGCGGGAGCCACCGCGCCCTGCTCCAACCCTTGTATTCTTCTTTAACAACCAAATTCGTTTGGCGCGGGGGCCGGGGGAAGGATGGGAAGACTGTTTCGCTGAGATCCCTTACTCATCTTCAGATGGGTCCTCCCAGATCACCCCATTATTACTAAATCCGCACTCCTGTCCCCCAACTGTCCCTCATTGCTTCTTTCTGACCCCCAACCCTCCCAACTTAACCAACCTACAACACGCTTTATTCGTGTATTGTCACCCCGCCCCATCATCCGATCCTCGAATGTCACTGAATGAATGAAAAAAAAAAAAGGGATTTTTTTTTTTTTTTGAAAATTAAATGCCAATTTATTCAACTCCTAGGCGACCTTCCATGGTCCCGGGGAAAGGGGCCAGGGAAGTCGCACCAACTTCCTGGGGCGTGAGGTTTTTATGGCTAGGAGGAACTAGCAACAGCTGGGTACTCTGATTGACTCCAGGGGAGCGGGATTGAGACGCGGTGGGCCGGTATTGGTTGGCGGGTTGTTGGGCGGGTTTTCTGGTGGGAGAGCCGGCCAGGAGCCTTGCATCAGCTGGAGCCTTCCAGCGGAGCCTTGCGGCAGAGCGAGGTGCTGAGTGCAGAGCCTGGTGCCGGGTGCAGAGGTGGGAGTGTCCAACCTCCCGAGGCAACTGACCTTACATTCCCACCCTTTTGATTATATAGGACGCTGCTTTTTTCTGGCTACTTCCCGCTGAATGGGGCGAAGTGTGGGAGAAGAGTCAATTGGCTGGTGCCTCGGTTGGGAGTCGGACACAGGGGTGAAGCAGCATCTGGTTTACGGCCACCCTGGAAATTTCCCTTACGTGAGCTTGTAGAAACCTTGTGGCGGAGCGGTTCCCTGGTCCGCCTTCGGGTGGAGGAGTCAGTTTCCCCCAGGAGGGGTCTTACAACTCCTCCTGGGTTTTTTGGCACCAAATGTAAGGGTTATTGCCGAGTTTAGATTGAGGAAACTGAGACCAGCATAAGAAAATTAAATGCCAATTTATTCAACTCCCTGGCGAGGTTCCATGGACCAGGGGAAAGGGGCCAGGGAAGTCGCCTTTTTTTTTAATTTTTTTTTTTCCAGATCCATAATTAGCATTTTATTCAGAACGCTGGGGTCAGAGGTGTATCATTTATATTCTGGTACACAATACAGAGGCAAAGCTGTTGTCAGAAGTCTCTCCAGTTTAAAAGCTTTTTTTTCCCCTCATTTTTTAAAAAAAACACACAGTAGTGCCACCAGTGTCAGGCCACCCCTTTCTTTTCTTTCCTTTTTTTTTTTTTTTTTTGGTACAAATTATGTAAAACATTTGTGCTAAGAACTTTTCTCCCTCCCCAAACAAGAAAATAAAAAATAAAAAAAATTAAAAAATTAAAAATTGAGTATTCTAACTACAGCTCAACAATTGAATCAAATGTCACTTTGTTTTGTAAATACTTTATCCATAACGAAAGATATAAACATGCAAAAAACCTGAATCCATAGTCTAAATAATACATACACATGTTCTGAAGTTTCTGCACTTCTCCATAGACTATGCCAATAAAACATTATGTACACATACCATTTTTACAGTGAAGTGGAAAAATACAGAAATAAAAAAGTGTACATGGATTAAGACCAAAATGTGTCTAACATTCTAGTTTATGAAAAAAATCAATTTTGCTACAAATTGGTGATATGAAAACTCCCTTTATTTGCAACCAGCTAAGTTTTAAGATTTTAGTGAAAAAAAAAAAAAAAAAAAAAAAAAAAAAAACAAAAGTCTAATACCAGAAGTAATGTACATTTTCCAATCTCACGGTCTCATCCCCCAAAATAATAAAATCGCTCCATAAGCTTTTTTAAATTTTGTATTTTAATAAAAGCAAATGCAATGTAACAAAAGCGTATTGAAGCATATCATGGTTTAACTTACTGCTGCCACCACAAAATATTTTGTCTTTTACTTATCATTTCAGAAATCAGTACCATTAAAGCCTTAAACATAAAACTAATTCCAATCTGAAAAAGGTACAAAAAGGCACATAAAATCCCAGTGCTTCTGTACTGTAAAATTCAAGGTCTTCCACAGGTCTTGCTGAAGGTATCCCAGGAATGTTCGAAAAGAATCCCCCAGGTTCTAAAGACCACCCACATTCCTTGGCTCATGGCCCCCTTCACTCTTTAAGGCCAGTGATGGCCAGTAGAGTCCCACATCACGTACTGGTACAAAAGGGCTGGACTCCCAGCTAAATCCCACGCTTGTGCCTGGAACTGTGGACTTAAGTGAAAACAGCTGACCCCGTTTTTCCACCCTCATGTTGCCTTTTGGCCTGATCTACCCCTACCCTGTGCCCATGAAAGACTCCAGCTGGCTGAGCAACGCAGCTGAGCGTCAAGGCTACAAGTGGCTGAATGGCAAGCAGAGAAGCAACTGAGCGCCAGAGACTATGGATAGAAGAGGCTAACTGCAGATGGTGTGGCTTCTGAGAGGGGCCCAGCAGGAGAACGCCGGGCTTCAGGGAAAGACATGCCCCACCCCTCCATACAACAAGGTTTGCACGTACCACACCCCAGCAGCCAGTCAGGGCCTCCATTACATTACAACGGGGCTCCTCCTCCTCCTTCCCAGCCTCCCCGGCAGCCGCCACTGGTCGCTCCCAGCAGCCATCCACACAGCGACCTGACCTTGAGCCCCTCCTCAGCCTTAGAGGGTCAGGCCGGAGTCTTCGCTGGATCTCCTTCCCGAACTCACAAATCCTGATGAGCTCCTGTCTTACCTGGACGCCCCCGACCTGCCGAGCAATAGTAACGATGACCTCCTGTCTCTGAGAACAACCGAAGGCCACCCGGTCGGGGTCATCCCTCCACACTCTGCCTCCTGCCCCACCCGTCCCACACACTTTTCCACCTGGGAGCCTGTGCCCTCAGACCGCCCCGCACCAGGGCCACGGGCTGTGGGGCGGGGAGCCCTTCCCCGCTGCAGCCCTCTCGGAACGGAGGGGCAGGGAGGGCGCAAGGCTGCGTGGGTCTGGAGCCCACGTCTTGCCTACAGGTCCAGGGCTTGGGCCCATGCCCAGCGCGGGCCTGAAGACCACCCTCCCTAGAGGAACCGGCCCGGTAAGAGGGCACACGCCGACGCAGCTTCCCGGTGGTCCCTCTGCGTGTGCCGATTCCAGGCGACCTTCCAGTGTCCCCAAGGTTCTTCCATCTTCTAAACTGTAACTCTGCCTCCCTGCTTCCTGGCCCGGAGCCTCCTTCAAGTGACTGTGGAGCCTGAGAAGGCCCCTGGGCCCCAGCATGGGCCCCAAGCCTTGGAGGAGCGCTGACAGTTGGTGGCAGTGAGACTGGCCCGCCCACCACCACCCACCACAGAAAAGCACAAACCTCTGGGAAAGAAAGACAACATCTCTCGGGGGCCGGGGGTCATCAGTTTGACCCCTGACCTCTAAGCCAAGATACCCTGTAAACACACTCTCTCAGAAAGCAGAGAAAAGGTAAGATTCTGTGTTTGAGAGAGGGTCCCCCATTCCTGCTTTGGGATTGGTGGGAAAGAGGGCCAGGGCCTCCCCTAAGCCAGGACATCTCTGAGGCTCCACCTCCAAGCTCAGACAGGGCTCAGCCTTTGGGGGCAGAGAGAGCAGGTATGCTCCCAATCGGAAGTGATTGTGCCCTTGGCTGCGGGGCGGAGCATGTCACCTATCGGAATCCAACAGGAGCGGCAACTTCTGTGCTCCAAGCTACTCTCTTTTTAAACAGCAACAATTTAAAGCTATGAAGTCACCTAGAGAAAAGGAACGTTGCGCTTGGACAGCAAGCAAACCATTCTCTCCGTGTGTTCTGTTTTTCTCCTAGTCCCTCTCGCCACCTCTCCAAGACTGTTCGTGGGACACCTGCTTCCCTAAAAAAAAAAATGCCAAACTTCGCTGTAATCCTGTAAAGCTTTCAGAAATTACTGAAAAACCTCCACGAACACAAAAAGAGTTGGCTTATTTGTCAGAGTTGCCACCCACACCTCTTCATATTTCAGAAGACTCAAGTTCACCAGAAAGACCTTCACCACCAGATCCTTCAGTGATTGTCACACTTTTAGACCAAGCAACTAAGAGTAATGTTGATGATTTAGACGTGTCTGAATCAAAAGGTTGTATGGAAGAAAAACCACAAGAAGTACAGACTTCTAGGAATGTTGAAAGTATTTCTGAACAGATGGAAAATCCGGATTTGAAGAATGTTGGTTCCAGTACTGGGGAGAAAAATGAAAGAACTTCAGTGGCTGGAACAGTGAGAAAGTGCTGGCCTAGTAGAGTGGCAAAGGAGCAGATTAGTAAGCGGCTTGATGGTAATCAATATCTGTTTTTGCCACCAAATCGTTATATTTTCCGTGGCGCTAAGTTATATTCAGACTCTGAAGATGACGTCTTATCCTCTAGTTCTTGTGGCAGTAACAGTGATAGTGGGACATGCCAGAGTCCAAGTTTAGAAGAACCCATGGAGGATGAAAGTGAAATTGAAGAATTCTACAGTGGCTTAGAAGATGAGCCTGACGTTCCAGAGAGAGCTGGAGAAGCTGGATTTGGGACTGATGGAGATGATCGAGAGGCAATTAATGAAGCTGTATCTATGAAACAGGAAGTAACAGACATGAACTATCCATCAAACAAATCATAGTGTAATAATTGTGCAGGTACAGGAATTGTTCCACTGGCATTAGGAACTTTAGCATGTGAAAATGAATGTTTACTTGTGAACTCAATAGAGCAAGGAAACCAGAAGGTGTAATATTTATAGATTGATAAAATAGATTGTTTTTCATGGATAATTTTTAACTTCATTATTTCTGTACTTGTACAAACTCAACACTAACTTTTTTTTTTTTTAAAGAAAGGTACTAAGTATCTTTAATCAGCTATCGGTCAAGATTAACTTTCTTTTAAAGGTTCATTTGTATGATAAATTCATATGTATATATAATTTTTTTTTGTTTTTGCCTAGTGAGTTTCAACATTTTTCAAGTTTTCAAAAAGCCATCAGAATGTTAAATTAATGTAAAGGGAACGGCTCATCTAGACCAAAGAATTGTATTTTCACTTTTCTTTGTAACATTGAATGGTTTGAAGTACTCAAAATCTGTTACGCTAAACTTGGATTCTTTAACACAGTTATTTATTTTTAAACACTGGCATTTTCCAAAACTTGTGGCAGCTAACTTTTTAAAATCTCAAGTGACATGCAATGTGAGTAGAAGGAAGTCAACAAAATGTAGGCGAGCACTCGGTTGTCTTTACTTTTGAAAGTAATACTTGGTGCTAAGAATTTCAGGATTATTGTATTTATTGTTCAAATGAAGATGGCTTTTGTACTTCTTGTGGTCATGTAGTAATGTCTATATTGGATCATAGAACTAACCTGAAAAACAAATAAATGCTTTGGAAATGTTTCAGTTGCTTTAGAAACAATAGTGCCTGCCTGGATCCCCTTAGTTTTGAAATATTTGCCATTGTTGTTTAAATACGTATCACTGTGGTAGAGCTTGCATTGATCTTTTCCACAAGTATTAAACTGCCAAAATGTGAATATGCAAAGCCTTTCTGAATCTATAATAATAGTACTTCTAGTAGGGAGAGTGTAATATTTTGGACTGCTCTTTTCCATTAATGAGGAGAGCAACAGGCCCCTGATAACAGTTCCAAAGTAATAATATGTTAATTATAACTCAGCCAGAAAATACATGTCTCCCATTGGGAGGATTTGGTGTTCAATACCAAAATGCTAGCCTAGTATTATGGAGATGAACATGATGTAATAGCAGAGTAGTTAATGAATGAAGCTAGTTCTTATAATTTATCTTTATTTAAAAGCTTAGCCTGCCTTAAAACTAGAGATCAACTTTCTCAGCTGCAAAAGCTTCTAGTAAGTTCATACTTTATGAAATTGCACAGTAACCATTTATTTTTCAGACCATTTTTGAACATTATTCCTAAATTAATAAAGTATTCCTACGTTGCTTTAGTATTTATTACAATAAAAAGGCTTTGAAATATAACTGTTCTTTATGCGTAAAATACCCGGCTAAGACCATTACTGCCAGAGGAAAAAAAATCATATTGAATGGCCATTTCCCTACCTAAAAGATGTCTCAATCTGAATTTATTTGGCTACACTAAAGAATGCAGTTTATTTAGTTTTCCATTTGCATGGTGTGTTTGTGCTATAGATGATATTTTATATTGAAAAGTTTGTTTTAAATTATTTTTACAGTGAAGACTGTTTTCAGCTCTTTTCATATTGTACATAGTCTTTTATGTAATCTACTGGCATATGTTTTGTAGGCTGTTTAATGACTGGATATCTTTCTTCAACTTTTGAAATACAAAACCAGTGTTTTTTACTTGTACACTGTTTTAAAGTCTATTAAAATTGTCATTTGACTTTTTTCTGTTAACTTAAAAAATAATAATAAGATATTTTGGGTATTCAAAAATACCCAAATCCCAAGATTTAGGCTCTAAATCTTCCATTTAGCCTGCACAAAAGGTAGCATGTCCAGTGGCTACAGGTGGGGTGGGAAGAG